AAGTGCACATCAACCATCTTCTTGAGCACTTTGCTTCTGTGTTGTAATCCCTTATCCTTTGTCTTTTGTTTGTCTTTTTAAGCCCTGAGCCTGCAAACATAGCTCTTGTCCCTGGGGAAACTGAACAGAATAAGAGTTCACAGGAGAAATTGTGGAGCATGTTCCGCAAAAGCTATTCCAGTCAATTTCCCCATGTAGACAAGTCCAGCTACTCAGCTTGGCTTCAATAGAACTACTCATGGGCTAAAAGTGAAGCATGTGCATGAGTCTTTGTAGGATCAGGATTATAGAGTGTAAACTCTTTGGGGCAAGGACTTTGTCTACCTCAATGTCTGTCCAGCATCTCCATCACTACCACACTCTAAATAATCATCACAATCTGTGCAGAGCTGTCTGGACTTTGCACTGAGCAAAACACAACCAGCCCAAGGAACTGGATCCACACGACCAAAGCTTTAAAATTTGCCAAGATGCTTAAAAATTAATCTGGCTCGAGTAGAATAGATGCACTGTGTAAATCCACAGCTGTGGATTGAGAGCTCGGGACTCCGCTCAGCTACTTTACTCAGCAGGCTTCCTCTTACTCACTTTGTACAATGAGTGAAGAAAGCTCACATATCTACGCTCTCTAGTTCACTCCTGACCTTGAAGGCTCCTCCTGCATGGGGAGAGCATGGTTCTTAGGTGTAGTGTGTATGAGATGCTGTGCACTTCAGGTCAGACAGAGGCCTTAAAAATAAGTGATGAAAAACTGTTTAGATGAATGTTAAATGCCACCAGTTAAAGGTGAACAGAAGAATCATTCGAGAATAAAAAAGTTCAAATAAGAGCTGAGGGTCCCCTATTAGTAACATAATCTATGTTTAGATTTTAAAAGGACCAAGAAAAACATTTTGAGCAGGATGGAAAGCAAAGAAAAATGCTTGGCATTTGGTGCTAGTAGGGGCATGAACAGCTCCAAGGGACAGCCTCCGCACTTGGGACTGATTGAGGAATGCACTGAAGTACATGCTTAGCTTTAAGCACATGCTTAAGTTCCATTAATATCAATGCTTTGTGTTTAAGTGCTGTTGTGCCTACGTTGTGTTCCTGAATTGGAGCTTCAGCAGGTCAGAGAAGGAGGAGTGGATTGATTTCAGAACGTATATATTTGCAGATTTTTAAGTCTACACATCATCACCCTCATCATAACATAAACTGGGTTATTGCACGTTAAATGGGACAAAACCCTTTGCTGTTCTCCTTTGAGCAACACTGAACAGCTCCCAGAGGTGGAGAGTTTTATGATGACAACACACCCTATAGAAACAGATTTGGCTACAAAAGAGAAAATAAAATTCAGCTACCCAAAGGACTCTCCATTAAATTGGATCAGCATCCCTGGCTGTACAAACTCCACTTCATATTGGGCCTGAGGGTGAATCCCTCACTCTCACTGGCGAGCAGTTACTTGCATGAGTAGCTCCCATTGACTTCATTGGGACTACATGTCTGAGCAGTGAGAAGATGGGGACTCCCAATCTGGTCCTAAAAAATGGCCCAACTTAACCTACAGCCTTTTGTTACCAAAAATCCAGAAAGTTGTGAGGGGGGATGAAAAGGAATCGTAGTCGTGGCTTATGCTGGAGGGAATGTGGAGAATGGAGAGCCTGCTATCACAATGGTAACTCTGCACCTGTACCCAAGATATTTAGAAACTGAAATGTATGTAGACAAAATCCTGTCTAGCTTGGTATTTATATGGCCCTAATGATAATCACCATAGTGGTTAAGTATTTATCATGGGAGGGGCGTTGACAAGATACCCCCTTCCCCCCCATAGATCCTGTGGCTCCCAGCCAAGAATTCATCATTCAGATCTCACAGCACCTAACTTTCATACTTGCTAGTGGCACCCATAGTAGCCTAACAGTCTGTCACCAAAAGATAAAGGAACCCCTGGTCATCAACTCCTGCATCAGTGAACTAGGGGAGGTGGTGGCTGGAATTAGCACAGCATATATGATCCTAGCCACAAAAAAACCCCAACCCAAAACTCTTTATAAATCTGGTTGTTGGTTGGCTTTCTGGTAACAAAGTAACAGTTGCTATCCAATAATAAGCACATTTCTGCGGTGCTTTTCATGTTCAAATTGCTTTATGGTTCTGGTCCTCACAGCAACCCTGTGAGCTAGGCAAATAATTAAATATTACCTGTGTATCAGTGCCTAGTAGACATCCATAAGTTAAAGGCAGTGTAAGGGAGCCAGCCCTCTCTGGTGAAAAGGCAGGGGCCTGTCCTCAGTATGGCAATGATCCAAACTATTAACTGAGATTGCAGACAGCGTGCTCCAATGATAAACTGATAAGGAACTTATCAAGTGAACAGCTACTCAGTGTAATAGCTCCAAGTGACTATGTGCTGGACACTCAGATAATGGAATTAGCTTTCGGTATGACTCCTTGTTCCTTGTGACTCACAGGCTTGTCGGCCTTCTGCCGTGTCACAGGAAATGCTTTTTCAATAAAGAAAAAGAAAAAAATCAGCCATGCAGGTCTCTGGAATGCTTTAACGTTTCCAACTTTCTCAAAGTGTCAGCTCCTGCCTGAAGTACTGTGATTTTTAAAAATCAAACCACTTCAGGGTTCCATGGGATTTCCTAACCTGAGGTGCTGTTTGCTACGGACAATAGATTGTTTCATTCTGCCTGTGATTTAATGGTTCATAGAAAAGCTACAAGTGTGGTTTAAGTACTGGACCCAATTTCTTCCTTGGATATAATACGACAAGGAAAGATTGGAGGGAATTGTTGAAGGAGGGGTTAGTCAGCACTGTATAGATACTCATGCAGCAGAGACATGCTCAGTAGGGTAGGTAGATACCATCATTATGATGTCGGTGCTTGAATTCAAAGAGCTCCCAGAATCCTCAATAACAATAGTATGTCCAGGTCAGTAGCAAGGCACAAAGACAAGTTAGCAGGGAAAAAGCTTACTCTCCTGAGCTGTACCTGTTCTTCTGTATAGAACGAGAGGAATCTGGACTCCTGCTCTGTCAATCCAAGTACCTTTCTCAAAGTGCATATAAATAATAATTTGATGTGTCCATGTTTTGGCTTGTGCGGGAGACCCCATGGTTGCCAACACCCTCAGCTGGCTAAATTTGCATCTATAAATTAGTGCCAATTAGTGGCTGGGGTGGGATGCTGAAAAAGTTGCCTCTTTGGGAAGTTCGCATGTGCATTAAAAAGAGAAAAGGTATTGAGCTGTGTGGGTGGAATCCTATTTCATTTCCACTTCTATTCTCACTGTACATTCAGCCCTACACTTCCTCATGTTGATCTACTGAATGCTTCTGCCTGGCTCCAAAAAGGCCATTTCTCCAGGGCCAAGAGGAAGTTGGTTTGCCTGACTGCAGGGGTCTTTCCCACCAGTGATTTACCAACCTTCCCAAACATTGACCTGAAGGGGCCACGTGGGCAGAGAGGGGAATGCAGTCTCAGTGTTTACTCAAGCCTGTGAATTTGGTTATGGAGCAATTTATGATTTCCCCCTGTGGAGTCACAAAGATAGCTCAACCTTTTACTGATAGACCTCAGCCTCCTGGGAGCAATGAGATCTCCAGGTTCTTTAAATCCTGATCCCAGGTGAGTGGGGAAAGAGAATAAAGTGGAGACAGAGCATGACTTATAAAACTATTAAAGCAGTGGTCTTAGAGATCACTCAGATATGTACCATTACTATTGCTTCAAACATGGTGCCGCTAGATTCCCTAGCTACCTTAAAGGTTGCTGCAAAATAACATACAATTAGGACTGGTCTTCTTTCCATTTCTCTATGATGCATAAAGAAGGCCTGAATAAAGAAGGTTTATTTTTGCATGCTAGTTTCTAGAGGGGAGGTTTTGTTTTTTACTTTAGAAATATCAGGAGCATCAAAGCTGGTTTCCCCTCTTTTGTTGAAGGCCTTTCTTGGAGGATGCAGAGGAGGCTTTAGATCTCAGTTCTTAACTGAAAGGGCTGGAGTAAGTAACAAAATAGCTTTGCTTCCAACTGATTTTTGGTGTCAGAGTTCAATAATAAAAATGAACCCAAAGAATTTTAAACAGACTGCATGGAAATCACTTCCCTTCTCCATTAATCAGGTTCCACTTTTATGGGATATCATCAACCGCTTAGTTCTCCAGTTGCCCATAGAGCTTCTTGTGTTAAAAACCAGATATGACTTGGCATGCTAATGTAAAATTCTAAGCAGAACCTCCACCCACCCACCTTTTTGGGGAACAGGTAGCTGAGGCCCTTTCAGGGGAGGTAGCATAATCTAGTAAATACATCATAGAACTGGGAGTTTGGAGTTCTAGTCCCTGCTCTGTTGTGTGATCTTGGACAAGTCACTTTCTTTCTTTGTCCTCATTTCCCCTCCCTTGTCAGTCTTATCTGTTTAAATTGCAAATTCTCAGAGGAAAGGGGTCTCTAGGCCCTAAAGGTGTTTGAGGCATTATAACAACAATTCCAGGCCTTCTCATTAATGCTTGTGATGGGCTCAGATGAGTGCCACAGAAAAGCCCAGGAATACCCCCACAGGAAGTACTTTTAGGACACAGGTTTAGCTCAGTAATCACTGGGGTACCTCTAGATGCCTCAGGGAACAGTGGGGACTCATCTGCAGGCAGGTAGGGTGGTTTTTTTTTAAATACAACTATTTATTTGTGCTATAGAAGGCTACCTAGAGGCAAGCACACAGGCCTCCTGCATGGGTTTAGTCTGGCACAGCTCATATTTATCGGGGAAACTCTTTGGGGCAGGGACAGTCTTTTTGTTCTGTAAAAAGCTCAAAGAGTCCTGTGGCACCTTATAGACTAACAGAGGTATTGGAGCATAAGCCATTGTTCTGTTTTTCCAGCCCTGAGAGCAATGAGGGCCCCGTCCATGACGGCGGGGTCTCCTAGTTGCTAAGAGAGTACAATAAATCAACAACAATAATAACAATAATAATTCCACTCTGCGGACCCTGGGAGGCGAGCAGTACCGGGGTTTCCCTCCAGCTCTGGCGAGCCAGCAGAGATGTAGCTGCTCTGGGCGCTATATGGCCCGCAGGCTGGAGGGCTGGGCATAGCTCGCCCCAGCTCGGCGGGCTGTTCCTCGCCGCTGCAGCTCCAGCCTCGCCACCCATCTAGCTGCGGCCGGGGCTGGGGGCCGGAGCTCCGTATTCTCTACATAGAAAAGCGACGTCAAGCCCTGTCTTGCAAACGTCGCAGCTTCGCTCAGGACTATGCCCGTTTCCAGCCGCTGGCAGAGCGCCCGGAGCCTTTTTTTCCTTATTAAAAAAGAAGAAGAAAATATCTAGGGGGGAAGGGCTGGTTCTTTTTCCTTAATCTGTTTCCGGTTTGCTGCCATATTCCCCCTTTTGGGGTGGGTTGGGGGAGGGGAGCATTTGCAAATAAATAGGAATCGATGCTAGCTTTGGGGTGGTAGCAGCAGCGAGAGGAGGAAGGACAGGGCTGGACCAGGAGCCGCCCCGGCCGTGAGCGCCCGAGCCCAGGCAGGCACCTGGAGGGAAAGGGAGGGGGCTACTGCTTTGGCCTCGCCTGGCCCCCGATGCTAAATCCAAGCAGGCAGCAGCATGAATCACTGTGGGGAGAAGGTGTCTCAGCCGCAGGCGGGCGTGAACCGCTGCTGACATCACGGCTCCAAGTTACAATCCGGCTCTCTAGCCATTTGCTAGCGTTCAGCCGCGCCGGGAAGGGGCCGGGGGACTGAGCAGCCGAGGGGGTTAATTCCGCCCCCCCCCCCCTCCGAGAGAGACAAAGCCAGAGCCGGGTTTTTGTGTCTGTCTGGGCGCGCCAACCATGAGCCGTGTGTCCCCGGCGCGGCTGCCCGGCTCTCTGCCGCTCCGCGATGGTGTCTCGCAGCGGCGCGGGCGAGTCGTGTAACTGCTGGGGCCGGGGAGCCTGCGAGCCGCCGAGGGCTTTGCATGTGGGGGCTGCGGCGCTTGGGAGAAAGGAGCTGAGCGAGGAAGCCGCCTGGCTCTGGGAGTTTTCCGCGGAGAGAGAAGGTAAGAAACCGCCCGGCTGCCGCCTGCCCTGCGATAGGGACTGGCCGAGGGAAAGGGGCTGGTGATACGCTCGGGGATATTGACTAAGCCGGGGATGAAACTGACCCGGAGCTTTGTTAACCTCCTGCCTTGGCGGTGTGTGTGGGTGTCTGCTGGGGTTGTGTAGGAGCGTTACACTTCTCCTCTGAACAACACAACAGCAGCAGCAGCAATCCCTGTGTGTGGCACCTTGGAGCTGCCTCCTTACGGCTGAGGATGAATTAGCTGAAGCAGCTAAATGGGAAAGGTATTGTCTGATGGGGCTGGGAAGGGAGGGTGATACGGTCGGGGGATGTGGGACTTGTTCAGATCCCCTCACTTTCTTTTGTTGTGGTGGTGTAGGGCTGACTGACAGGTTGGGGCTTCTCTGTCTAGCTGAAGACTTTCTGTAGTTCATTTAATCAAACCACTCGGGGAAGCAAGAGGGGGGAGGGAGCAGGAGCTGTATGTAGGCCAAAATATGAAATATTAATAACTCGGCTGCTTTGATGTCTTCTGATCCATTTCCCTTTTACTATTTGTTAAATATTCATTTCAGTGGTTTGTTTTTAATCACATAGGTGCTCTTCGGGGGTTTGTGTGTTTACATCACTTTGGGGAGTGTAGGAGAATCTCTGCTCCTCACTTTTTTTTTCTTTCTTTCTCTCTTTTCCCTTCTAACCTGGCCCTGTCTTAACTAGGGTTTATCTTGTGGAAGACTGGAAAGCTGTTTATTACTTACCAGCCCTGTAACTTCGGCTTCTTCAGATCAGTACAACACCAATATAAAAAAGAAAGTAACACGCTAGGTTTTATAATTCATACTATATCTGTAGTAATCAGTTTCTGTCATGCAAAATATTGTAGTCCTAGGTACACAAGGTGGGTGAGGTAATATATTTTATTGGGCTGACTTCTGCTTTAGAGCTATCATATCTGTAGTAATCAGATGCTGTCATGCAAAATACTGTAGTCCTAGGTACACAAGGTGGGTGAGGTAATATATTTTATTGGGCTGACTTCTGCTTTAGAGCGACACAGAGTCCTAGTCCTCCTCCTGAAGCCAAACACCTGGGATCAGAGCGGGCAAACTTCAATTGGCTTTTGTTGTTGTTTTACTCCCTAGCTCTCCTGGGTGCATGCGATGTGGGTGGTACACATGCTCTGCTTTATCATTCTGAGACACTGTAAGAATTCCAGCTGTCATCTTGGTTCACTTATTTGTACCTGTTGGAAGAAGATGTGTTAGTAGACCTAATGGAAGGGGCAGTCAGGAGGTGCTTAATACATCTTGACCCTGGCAAGGCGTGAGGTGCCTCTTCCGTTGGATGTTCCTGGTACTGTGTGGTGTCTGCCAGCGAACTTCTGTACGGCTTTCTGCAAAAAATGAATGAGAACCTGCTGCTGTCTCTACCCTGGGATCGCTCCCCCATTCCTTCCCCTCCCCTATCCCCGAGTACTTGTGCAATGACTTACCCCAGTTCTGCTGGGGTACTTACCTAGAGACCAGCAGATGTTAAGCCCTCCCAAATAGGTTTCCATTTTTATAAAACCTAGAGCTTTAGAAGCCCATTTTGTTAGTTTCTTGGCCTGTGGTGACTGAATGCCCTTGGGGGGGAATAGGCTGCACTGGGAACCCAGAATTGTCTCACACAGTTTCTTTGTACTAGTATAGACTAGGAACAGCCATCCAGTAGTCTACTGTTCATAAAGAAACAAGATGGTCAGTGATTGTAGTGTGTGTGTTCTCCTTCCCCAAAAGAGGTGGCTAACTATTTTACCTGTTCCGCAAAACAGCTAAATGGCAGGTGACCCACCAGACCATGAAGGGTATTTTAGGTCATCCCAGAATGTAACACATCCCTGTTAAAGTTTGCCTCTGCTGGCTTGAAACAGGTAGCTGCTCTTGGCTCATGCGGCAGAATGCTCACCTGGAGGTGTGTGGGTTGGCTTTCTTTTTGGGCAGGCCTGTCTGCTGCCAGTGAGTGTTAGCTTTCTGAATGCTCCCCATCATGCCGGGCTTGTGTGTGGGAGCTGCAGGGTGGAGAACTCAACCTGGCTGCTTTGCTTGGAAGTCTCTAGGATTCTAGCCCTGCTTGCTATGGGATCATGGGCGAGGCACTTCTTTGTGCCACCTACAAAGTGCTGGTGGCGGGGGGGATAACAAACCCAACCCACACTAGTAAAACAACTTGAGAACCTCCAAGAAGTGCTGTCTAAGACCTTGCCTACACTGGGAAAGCATGTGAAGCTTGTTGGTGATTTCCCCCTTCTTCCCCCCTCCCCCACCCTCTCACCGTCAACACACACCCCTGCCCCAGCGTTTCCAAGAGTGGAAGCTGTAGCATGGACAGAATGCAGGCACATCTTGCAGCTACTCTGTGAGCTAGATCAGGGGACATGATGGTGAAATGCCTGCATCCTGTCTACACCACAGCCTTCATGGTGGTCAGTACCAGGGCAGGTAACCACTTACCAACTTCTTCAGTATAGAAGCAACCAAAGTTCTTGTTTTTTTTATTATTATTATTTCTTTTCAAATACTGTGTTGGAAAGCCATTCTTGAACTATCTGCCAAGCCTGGAGTTCCCCTTCAGCAGGTGATAGCTCTATAAATGTCTAAGGCCGTCATTCATCAAAGCACTCAAGTACATTATGAAGTTCACCTTTACTGAATGGGGGCCCCCAAAGATGTATGGGGTGTCTGATGATCCCAATGCCATTACCTGTGATTGGGGGAGGTGCAAAAGAAGACAGATCATTGGGCATCTGAAGATGAAGCTGTGTCAATTAAATATAAATATGTCATGTTTAAGTTTGGGGACTTGGTCCTGAGAATTGCTCAGCACCTACAACTTGTTAGTCAATGGGCCTGATCCTTAGCTGGTCTATAATGACATAGGCTCACCCAAGATCTCCCAACAAGCAGAGCTAGAACTCTGGAGACATTGAAGTCAATGGAGTTATACCATTTTCACCAACTGAGGATCCAGCCTGATGAGAGTTTTGGCTACTCTGCACTCAGGCCTTTAATGATTATGATGTTAAACAAAAAGAGGGCCTGAGCCAAACTGCTTTGAACTATGGGAGGTTGGAGTTGGAATCTGCTTCCAAGTTGTGAGCAAGGGAGGTAGGTGGGGGAATCTCTCTCTGTGGCTGCTGCTGAAATAGTGGATCAGCTGACATTTTAGGAGGCTGATTTGTGTGTGACTATGTGCTGGACTTAAGAGAAAGATATGGTATGTCCTACCGATGGATTGTCTTCCACTGGGCAGGCATGCGAAACTCCAGTGCACTGTGCAGAATCAGGAGAGTTGCCTCAAAAGTAGCTCTACAACTTGATGAACTGCCCAGGTGTGCTTTGGGGGGGAGCCAGCAAGTACCTAGATACAGACCTGGAGGATAGTCTCACTTTTGAGACCTGGAAAGAGGGTATGCAGTTAGAAATGACCAATGTGTATGGGAAGCTTGGCTGGTGAGACAAACCAGAGGAGCTGCTTCATTCATTTCTGTAGTCTGCTTACCCGGGAAGGGGGGTATGTTCAAAGGTCTGAGCGTGTGAAATGAAATCTGCGCATAATAGGCAAAGTCACGTACTCTCTTGTACTGAAGCGTGTGGTGGCCTTTGCTGGTGGACACGTGTTGAAATGTAATAGCATGTGAAAGTGATGCTGTTGTCACTGCCACAGCAGCACTTGATGCCTGAAGCCTCACTTGTTTCCCAAGTGGGCCCGACCAGGCCTTAGTGGGCACTTGTCCACTTACCACAGTGGTTCCCCAGTTGGACTTGATTGTGCAGCCTCTGAATAGCAGAATGAAACCTGCTCTGTGGCATCTGGAGCTGGAGGAGCTGTGGCTGTCACTGCCCATTTGTGTATTGGCAGAAGAGTGGCTGGAGGGGGATGGCTGAGAGCTGCCCAGTCTCTGATTGCACTATTCCTGGTGGGAGCTAGGGCTAATGATGGGATTAAGCCTGGACTTTGAAGTCACTGGTAAAACTCTCTGAACATGATCTAGAATAGAACCACTGGGCCCAAGTCTCACTTAATTACCCACAAATGCAAATGTTTTGAGAAAGGAGTTTGAGGCGAACCATAGACTGAAGTGGACGACTTCAGTTTCTTAGTCTGCTTCCTCTGAGTGCTTAACACAAAAAGGCAGCATCATTTCTATAAAGGGCAACATCATTTCTGTGTTTTTGGCATTGCTAGGGACGTTTGAAAGCCTATCTAAACCACTATTGTTTCCTGTACTGTCTGTCTTACTGCTTGATTTTTAACATGCTCCTTTTTATCTCTCGGAACAACTTCCCATATGACCTCACTTCCTCAACATGCGGCGTCTCGTTTCATAGAACCCAGTTGGAAATTCTTCCAATGCATTTCACTTACTCTGGTGCAGAACATCCCAGAGTGAAACAAGTTCTTCCCCCCTGCCTTGGCCATTTGCCTCCCCCCGCCCCCAAACCTTCCCCTCCGTAAGAAAGCACATGAGGTACCTCCACCCAAGTTGCTGAGTTGTGTTGTGTTTTGTTTTAACAGGGAAGAGGCAGATTCATTTAAGTTGATGCTTGTAAATGAAATATGAGCTTAAATCACTTAACATGGAAATAACTGTCTCTGCTAATGCTATTCATGCTGCTCTAGTTAAAATTGTCAGTGTTTCCATTCCAATAAAGCCCTGTTTTCTGAGGCTTATAACTTTGGGTCATTTAACATAACAAAACAAAACAAAACAAAAAAATCCCTCCAGGCTGAAATTTGCTAGCAAAAGTCTGCCTGGGAGCAAAACATGTAAAGTATGTGGTGCTATTTAAACCAAACTTTACAAAAATAATTTCTCTTGCCTTCCATTTTTTTTAATGGCACAGAACCACAAAATAACTAGAAGCCTCCGAGCTCTCCATAGAAGAACAGAGTAAGCCCGTGGCACTGTAGTAAAATCACATGTAGATTTCTTTCTTTTGTGTGGGGGAGGGAGAA